GCAATGACCTCTGTAATATTACCAGTTCTACTCGTATACTTTCTAATAACACAGCAACGTCCTCTGTAATATTACCAGTTCTACTCGTATACTTTCTAGTAACACCGCAATGACCTCTGTAATATTTCCCGTTCTACTCGTAATCTTTAAAATAACCAATATTATTTTTGTACTCTGGTCTTTTTAGCTATTCAGTATAGATAGACTTTACTGTGTTTTTTCAGTACAAACAAGTTTATTGTACCTGTAGTGGTAGAATGATAAGGAACAGTTTCTTCTCTTTGACAGACAGGATGTGTTTAACAAAGGCCCAGCCAGCACCTATGAGAAGGATGGTTGAGAACAGCAGTGCCCCCTTGGTTCTGTAAAACAAGAGAGATAATCAGTGAAAATATTGACCAATCACAGCAGTGCCTCTCTTAGTCCAATCAAACAAGAGACATAATCAGTTAAAATATTGACCTATCACAGCAGTGCCTCTCTTAGTCCAATCAAACAAGGGACATAATCAGTTAAAAAATTGACCTATCACAGCAGTGCCTCTCTTGATCCAGTTAAACAAGGGACATGATCAGTTAAAATATTGACCTATCACAGCAGTGCCTCTCTTGATCCAGTTAAACAAGGGACATGATCAATTAAAATATATAACAGCAGTGCCTCTCTATCAGTTAAGGACAACGGTATTAAAATATAATTGAAGTGCCCCTTGATTCTTACAGGGACCGAGGTAAAAGTTGATTTCATTCGGTTGTAGAGCCAACATAAAATTATTGTCTTCATAATGGCATTAGAAAATGACTGGCCCTGTCATGTAGAATGATGATGTCTAACATTCTAAATACTTTATTGCATAACGACATGAGATAGAGCTCATTTACAGATACATTAACAGTACAGGGGATAGATCTTACTTACAGATACATTAACAGTACAGGGGATAGAGCTCACTTACAGATACATAAACAGTACAGGAGATAGAGCTTACTTACAGATACACAAACAGTACAGGAGATAGAGCTCACTTACAGATACATTAACAGTACAGGGGATAGAGCTCACTTACAGATACATTAACAGTACAGGAGATAGAGCTTACTTACAGATACACAAACAGTACAGGAGATAGAGCTCACTTACAGATACATTAACAGTACAGGGGATAGAGCTCACTTACAGATACATTAACAGTACAGGAGATAGAGCTTACTTACAGATACACAAACAGTACAGGAGATAGAGCTTACTTACAGATACATTAACAGTACAGGAGATAGAGCTTACTTACAGATACACAAACAGTACAGGAGATAGAGCTTACTTACAGATACATAAACAGTACAGGAGATAGAGCTTACTTACAGATACATAAACAGTACAGGAGATAGAGCTAACATACAGATACATTAACAGTACAGGAGATAGAGCTTACTTACAGATACATTAACAGTACAGGATATAGAGCTCACTTACAGATACACAAACAGTACAGGGGATAGAGCTTACTTACAGATACACAAACAGTACAGGGGATAGAGCTTACTTACCGATACACAAACAGTACAGGAGATAGAGCTAACTTACAGATACATTAACAGTACAGGAAATAGAGCTTACTTACAGATACATAAACAGTACAGGAGATAGAGCTAACTAACAGTTAAATTAACAGTACAGGAGATAGAGCTTACTTACAGATACACAAACATTACAGGAGATAGAGCTCACTTACAGATACACAAACAGTACAGGAGATAGAGCTCACTAACAGATACATAAACAGTACAGGAGATAGAGCTAACTAACAGTTAAATTAACAGTACAGGAGATAGAGCTTACTTACAGATACACAAACAGTAAAGGAGATAGAGCTTACTTACAGATACACAATGTATTATAAGACTGCCCAGGCTTCTCTATGAAATCCTTCCACTGAGATAAAATGGCTGTTGATCTAGAAAACAGTAATTCAAAAATGACAATGAGTTTTTCATAAACTGTATTCATTCCATTCAAAATCAATGATGTACATGTCTTACTTACCGATACACAAACAGTACAGGAGATAGAGCTAACTTACAGATACATTAACAGTACAGGAAATAGAGCTTACTTACAGATACATAAACAGTAAAGGAGATAGAGCTTACTTACAGATACATTAAGAGTACAGGAGATAGAGCTCACTAACAGATACACAAACAGTACAGGAGATAGAGCTTACTTACAGATACAAAAACAGTACAGGAGATAGAGCTCACTAACAGACACACAAACAGTACAGGAGATAGAGCTTACTTACAGATACAAAAACAGTACAGGAGATAGAGCTCACTAACAGACACACAAACAGTACAGGAGATAGAGCTTACTTACAGATACAAAAACAGTACAGGAGATAGAGCTCACTAACAGACACACAAACAGTACAGGAGATAGAGCTTACTTACAGATACATTAACAGTACAGGAGATAGAACTTACTTACAGATACACAAACAGTACAGGGGATAGAGCATACTTACCGATACACAAACAGTACAGGAGATAGAGCTCACTAACAGACACACAAACAGTACAGGAGATAGAGCTTACTTACAGATACAAAAACAGTACAGGAGATAGAGCTCACTAACAGACACACAAACAGTACAGGAGATAGAGCTTACTTACAGATACATAAACAGTAAAGGAGATAGAGCTTACTTACAGATACACAAACATTACAGGAGATAGAGCTCACTTACAGATACACAAACAGTACAGGAGAAAGAGCTCACTTACAGATACACAACCAGTACAGGAGATAGAGCTCACTTACAGATACACAAACAGTACAGGAGAAAGAGCTCACTTACAGATACACAACCAGTACAGGAGATAGAGCTCACTAACAGATACACAAACAGGACAGGAGATAGAGCTTACTTACAGATACAAAAACAGTACAGGAGATAGAGCTCACTAACAGATACACAAACAGGACAGGAGATAGAGCTTACTTACAGATACAAAAACAGTACAGGAGATAGAGCTCACTAACAGACACACAAACAGTACAGGAGATAGAGCTTACTTACAGATACAAAAACAGTACAGGAGATAGAGCTCACTAACAGATACACAAACAGGACAGGAGATAGAGCTTACTTACAGATACATAAACAGTACAGGAGATAGAGCTAACTAACAGTTAAATTAACAGTACAGGAGATAGAGCTTACTTACAGATACAAAAACAGTACAGGAGATAGAGCTCACTAACAGATACACAAACAGTACAGGAGATAGTGCTTACTTACAGATACACAATGTAGTATAAGACTGCCCAGGCTTCTCTATGAAATACTTCCACTGAGATAAAATGGCTGTTGATCTAGAAAACAGTAATTCAAAAATGACAATGAGTTTTTCATAAACTGTATTCATTCCATTCAAAATCAATGATGTACATGTCTTACTTACCGATACACAAACAGTACAGGAGATAGAGCTCACTTACAGATACATTAGCAGTACAGGAGAAAGAGCTTACTTACAGATACATTAACAGTACAGGAGATAGATCTTACTTACAGATAACACAAACAGTACAGGAGATAGAGCTCACTTACAGATACATTAACAGTACAGGAGATAGAGCTTACTTACAGATACATAAACAGTAAAGGAGATAGAGCTTACTTACAGATACACAAACATTACAGGAGATAGAGCTCACTTACAGATACACAAACAGTACAGGGGATAGAGCATACTTACCGATACACAAACAGTACAGGAGATAGAGCTCACTTACAGATACACAAACAGTACAGGGGATAGAGCATACTTACCGATACACAAACAGTACAGGAGATAGAGCTAACTTACAGATACATTAACAGTACAGGAAATAGAGCTTACTTACAGATACATAAACAGTAAAGGAGATAGAGCTTACTTACAGATACACAATGGAGTATAAGACTGCCCAGGCTTCTCTATGAAATCCTTCCACTGAGATAAAATGGCTGTTGATCTAGAAAACAGTAATTCAAAAATGACAATGAGTTTTTCATAAACTGTATTCATTCCATTCAAAATCAATGATGTACATGTCTTACTTACCGATACACAAACAGTACAGGAGATAGAGCTTACTTACAGATACATTAAGAGTACAGGAGATAGAGCTCACTAACAGATACACAAACAGGACAGGAGATAGAGCTTACTTACAGATACAAAAACAGTACAGGAGATAGAGCTCACTAACAGACACACAAACAGTACAGGAGATAGAGCTTACTTACAGATACAAAAACAGTACAGGAGATAGAGCTCACTAACAGACACACAAACAGTACAGGAGATAGAGCTTACTTACAGATACACAAACATTACAGGAGATAGAGCTCACTTACAGATACACAAACAGTACAGGGGATAGAGCATACTTACCGATACACAAACAGTACAGGAGATAGAGCTCACTAACAGACACACAAACAGTACAGGAGATAGAGCTTACTTACAGATACATAAACAGTAAAGGAGATAGAGCTTACTTACAGATACACAATGGAGTATAAGACTGCCCAGGCTTCTCTATGAAATCCTTCCACTGAGATAAAATGGCTGTTGATCTAGAAAACAGTAATTCAAAAATGACAATGAGTTTTTCATAAACTGTATTCATTCCATTCAAAATCAATGATGTACATGTCTTACTTACCGATACACAAACAGTACAGGAGATAGAGCTCACTAACAGATACATAAACAGTACAGGAGATAGAGCTAACTAACAGTTAAATTAACAGTACAGGAGATAGAGCTTACTTACAGATACACAAACAGTCCAGGGGATAGAGCTTACTTACAGATACATAAACAGTACAGGAGATAGAGCTAACTAACAGTTAAATTAACAGTACAGGAGATAGAGCTTACTTACAGATACATAAACAGTAAAGGAGATAGAGCTTACTTACAGATACATTAACAGTACAGGAGATAGAGCTCACTTACAGATACACAAACAGTACAGGGGATAGAGCTTACTTACCGATACACAAACAGTACAGGAGATAGAGCTTACTTACAGATACACAATGTAGTATAAGACTGCCCAGGCTTCTCTATGAAATCCTTCCACTGAGATAAAATGGCTGTTGATCTAGAAAACAGTAATTCAAACATGACAATGAGTTTTTCATAAACTGTATTCATTCCATTCAAAATCAATGATGTACATGTTAACAGTCAGAAAACTTGAAATGAAGTTTCTAAATCTACAATAAATATCAGCCGAACAGATAACAAAAAATATTGTCATCATACCTTATGAGTGGAACAGAAAGAGGAGGATGTTACTCACGGAACGGAACAGACAGGACAGACTCTTCACCGTGATGACGGACAGCATAAGGTAGTGGATCTTGTATACATCATCACTGTGTAAGCAAGATAATAAATGTCAAGTTAACATCTTTTTCTCTTTTTTTAACAGGATGTGTAGCTTTCAGAGACATAAGTCTGTAATTAAAATTTTCTTTTCTTTTCATCAGACAAATGACCAGTAAAGCGTATTTATGTTTTAAAGTGTAAAAATTACCTTGTGACTGAATCAAATGAAAATCCTAGTTGACTACACTTTGTTCTGCGGGTTATCCCTATAAAGATCTGAGTAAACTACACTTTGTTCTGTGGGTTATCCCTACAAAGACCCTAGTAAACTACACTTTATTCTGTGGGTTATCCCTATAAAGATCCGAGTAAACTACACTTTGTTCTGTGGGTTACCCCTAG